AATACCGCAAATCACCCAAATCCTTGATAGTAAACCTGTCATGGAGAAAATTCTTCACCCGTAGGATAAAAGCCATGTAGTTTGCGGCCAGAATAACATCATCGACGTATATGAGGGTAGTGACAAAGGTAGCCCCACGACGATAAGTGAAAAGAGAGTGATCAGCCCGACTCTGGGAGAAACCCAATGACAAGAGAGACTGAGTAAACTTTTGATATCAGTTACGGGAAGCCTGACAGAGCCCATAAATTGATTTCCGAAGACGACACACACGAGTGTCACCAGGCTGAGAGAAGCCTTGAGGAATACGCATGTAAACCTCTTCCGTCAAGTCACCATGAAGAAATGCGTTATTAACGTCGAGCTGCTGAATTATCCAACCGAGATGGACAGCCATAGCCAGCAGACAGCAAACTGTGACAAGTTTAGCAACCGGCGCAAACGTGTCATGATAATCAATACCCTCGATCTGGGTGAAACCCTTCGCGACTAAACGCGCTTTATAACGTTCCACTAAACCATCAGGAAGAAACTTGATATTATAAACCCATTTGCAGTCAATAGAACGTTTGCTCGGAGGTAAATAACAAAGCTCCCAAGTACCAGTAGCAACCAGGGCAATGATCTCTGCCTTCATGGCAGCACGCCAATGAGCATGACGTACAGCCTGATAGTAATAGCGGGGTTCATCGACAGAGGAGACAACCGCTACAAAAGCATGATACGCCCGAGAGGGCCGACGATAATCAAGATGGTCCTCCAAAGGATAAGTGACTTCGGCAGTATATGTCATCCAAGGCATGGCGACATCATAATCCGCGAGCTGAGTCGAGGGCTTACAAGAACGATCTCCACGACGGAGGGCAAGAGAATCAGTGGGATTGGGCACCGCAGTCTGGATGTTTGGGCCAGACTCATTCGAAGTGGGAGTCGACAGGGATTGTTGCAAAGAAGAAGCCTTGTCGAAGGCTGCACTAGGCAAAGTAGAGGACTGGTCGAGTGACGTGGCTGGCGAAGCAGAAGACGCGAGCTAGGGTGAGCGACCAGCAGTTGTGGACGGTGAAGGAGGAATGCGCGCGGCTGGTGCAGGCGAGGGGGCCACACTGAAAGAGGCGAGTCTGAGTCATCATCAACCAAACAAGGAGATTGAGTGGATTTCAATGCAGGCGGTGGAGCTTGGCAAAGGGGATCAACTGCACTGGGAGTAGTAGAGAGGAGATAAGGGAAGACATTCTCCAAAAACTTGACGTCACGAGACGTGTAAAGCTGCTTACGCTCCAAATCAAAAATTCGATAGCCACGATGAGTTGCAGGGTACCCAACAAAAATGTCTGCTCGTCCACGTGCACTAAATTTATCCAGTCCATGGAAATTATCTTGAGCATAAACGAGACAACAAACTCCGCAAGTGCTCATAGGAAGGGTCCTTGCCGAAGATGATCTGGTAGGGAGACCGGTCTGCAATTGGTGAGAGTGGCAAACGGTTGAGAAGATAAGCAGCTGTCAACACACACTCTCCCTAGAATGTAATCGGCAGATTAGCATGGAAGCGTCAAGCGCGAGCCGTATCTAAAAGATGTTGCGGTCTATCTGTGCAAGAGGTCTGGAGGATGATACAAGACTGATCATAAAAGTCACGCAACTCATGAGTAGAAAACTCCGGTCCATTATCAGCCTGTATACGACGGACCTGTTTGTGAAACTGAGTGCTCACCATATGACAGAAAAGAAGGAAATAACGGGCAACCTCGAACTTAAACTTCAGCAAATAAACCCAAGCGACACGACTATGATCATCCACTATAGTAAAAAAATAACGACCCCCATTAAATGAAGGGGTTGAATATCCACACCAAATGCCAACACGGATTAACTCAAAACAATCTGTAGTAGTAATCGAACTGGAGACAAAATGATCACATGTATGTTTAGCACGAAAGCAAGAGAGACATGAATCTTTCTACTGAACAAGAGGACTAGAGATAAAACGCTGTAGAATAGACATATTCGCCAATGAAGGGTAACCAAGTCGAGCGTGCCATAATGTTAAACTGTCTACAGCTTGACGAACCGAACGAGCCACTGGATGTTGCCCGTCAAAAATTTGTAGATAGTACAACCCATCAATATGCTTACCCATCCCAATCAGCCTCTTGGATGGTAAGTCCTGAATAACATAGAAGTACTTTATGAAAATCAGAGCAACTGGGAGATCAGCTGTGAGACGACTGACTGATAGTAAATTACACTGAAAATATGAAATATGAAGAACTCTCCGCAGGAAAAGATCATTAGATAAATGTGCATAACCAATCCGATGAACAGGAAAACCCGAGCCATTAGGAATACGAACCTGTAGATCTGGTGGACTCTCCAACTCATTGGATAAAAGAGATTGATTGTTAACAATATGCTCATTAAAACCGGAATCAATTACCCATGAAGTATGAGAGGGAAGTGTTGTACCTGCCATGTTCGAAGTAGGGTTCATGGATGCTGGTGCCGAAGGGCGAATGTCTGAACCTAGAAGTTGTTTGAGCTGGGCAAATTGGGCAAAAGATAGCCCTGCAAATGGACTGGACTCCACGTCTACAGCAGCAGCCTGAGGGTTTGATCGCTAGCCACGATCGGAGGAGTCCCCGCGGTGACATGGAGGTGCTTCACCAGGAGTGCGAGAGGGGTAGCCATGCAACTTGTAACACGTTGCTTTGAAATGGCCGGTTTTGTTGCAATGAGTGCAAATGGGACGACCCTCTGCATCACGAGGACGATCAACATCTCGCTCCCCTTGGCGAGTAGACGCATGCAGCTTCCTCTCTCCATGGGTCTGAAAAACGGCAGCTTCAACACGAGGGCGACGATTGCTAAAAATATGACGATGTTGTTCGTCATTCATGACAAAATGATAAGCATTGGCCAAGCTTGGCGTGGGTATCATGGCTAGAATCTGAGTCTTGACGATCCCAAACGCATCATCAAGGCTCATGAGAAAGTCGAAGAGGCGCTCATTTTTCTTAGATTCACGCTGCCTGCTGTTCACATCACAAGTACAACCACCACAGGTGTATTCTAAGGAAGGAGCAAGAGAATTGATTTCGTCCCACAAACCTCGAAGCTTGGTGTAAAAGGAAGCTACTGAAGTCTTCTCTTGTTGAAGTAAATTGATGGTCTGACGAAGTTCATACAACCGGGGGGCACTCCCGTGACCAAAACGAGTCTGAACGTCGACTCATATCTCCCTAGCAGTGATAGCGAATCGCACGCTGCTGTGCACATCCTTTGACATGGCGGTCTTCAACCAGCCTTTAACCATGGCGTCACCTTGCTTCCAGGCATCATAATCTTTGCAGCCACCTGCAGGCGTGGATATGGAACCATCGACGAAGACAAGTTTATTCTTGGCGATGAGAGAGTCCGAAATATCACCCACACACTCTCCATAGTTAGTTTTCGTGAGAAGCTCAGCCACGAAAAGCTGACTGGGGCTGTCGGAATTGTGTATAGTGATGGGCGAAGGGCGTTGTACGCCCGCGCTAGTCGTGGCACTGCTTTTGTTCGAGGCCGAGCTCTTCTCAGCTTCAGTGTCACTCATCGTTGAACGAGGAGGAGAGAAAAGCTGTGGATCTCTTCACATCTCTGATACCATGTAGAAAACGATGAATCGAAAGACACGCACAAGGATTTTACGTGGTTTCCTCGTTCGATTTGAACGAGACTAGTCCACGGAGAACTCGCGTTCTCAGTTGTTTTATTATTGATAATGATTTCAGAGTGTTAGGGTTCGGCGGAACCGAAGACCCTTCTTAAGTACTGGAATCCTCGTACAAAAATTAATCTGAGGATTGGCAAATTACATTACGACCCCTAAACTTATTTACATCACCAAAAATAAGCAAAGGAATCGTAATAATCTCAATCATCAAATGTGGCATTTACCCTCCCAAAATAATTGTAAAGTTTGTAGCGATGGCAAGGCTTCGGGGCAACTAAAATCCAGCATACAAACAGTGCGGAGGAGGATTAATAAACAAGGCAAACAATTTTGGCGAGGAGTGGAATCGGTTGCTTGAAATGAGCTGGGTTTAAGAATTGCACTTCCCGAAGCTAAGCTATCCGCACAAAAAAAAAAAAAAATGAAACAAAAGGAAGTAGTGAGCTGATACTACACTTATTTTCTATGTATGCCAAGCTATTTGAAACTAGAGTTAAAATGAATAAGATATTGTACGTTAAAAATTTATAAAAAATGAAAAATACTTCTCAATAACCAAATGGGATTTCGCGTCAGCTCACACCTAGCATCTAAGCTAATCTAGACACGTCTCACTCCGTCAGCTCACTTCCAACGAATAAAATACGTCTCGGTTAGAGAATGTTCTGATACAATGTCAAAAACTAATTAATTTCAATAACGCGAGTTGCCGAGTTGTTGAAAGATGTTCATTTATATAAATGTTATATATATATCATCTAGTGACATTGATTTGAGTATAAGGATTCCGGCGCCCTCGCCAATCTAGCTCATGTAATAATCATCCACGAGTCCTTTGGCATTTAAGGTTACAAACAGAGGCTGGGATCAACCTAAAATATGTTGCCAAGTTTCGTAGACTTGGATTAACACGACCTGCCTTGTTTTATAAGTTTTTCTATATGATTGTTGTCACTAGTCATCTTGAATAGGTTTCGTAACCACAGTTACTGTGATAACTACCCCATAAATACGTGCATGCCCTAGGATCTAGTTCTACTACTGCACACAGTTGATTGATTAAATCTTCAAATCTACCACTATAAAAAAAACCCTAATTTTCTCTACACTGCCACGACAGTAACTGAAACAGATAGTACCGGACGCAGACAATACAACCCAGCTACAGTACACACATTTCACATCTGCTAAATTACCTAGGCCGTACATATTGAACAATTACAAACCCTATATTTTACCTAAAACTTGATTGATTCAGCTACATGATCACGCACGCACGCACGCTCGCTCATGGCCCCTGAAGAGCAGGCGAGGCTTCGCCGCCATAGCTGCGGTCGTTGTTGCCTTCATGTTGACGTTGGTGACGGTACCATTCCGGAAGAGGAATGGAAGAAGGGAAGTTGGTGAGTAGGCTGAGTAAGTCGTCGTCCATTGAACTCATCCCCTCCGCAATCACCGCAGCCGTCCCCTCCTTGGCCGGCTCCATTACTGTACGGATTATTGCTCAAATTAGTTACTTATTAGGGATTTCCTACGGTACTTTAAACTAAGTTATTAAACTGAATATTTTTATCCGTTATAGTGGGTTCAGAGGTCGAATTACGTAGGATATAATTTAAGGGACCTTCTACGATAACTTGAGTATAATTTTAAGTTAGAAAACTTGCATAAATCTAAACCGTTAAAATCGATCAAACTTATTCTAAATCATTGATTATAAAAATATAAAAAAAGTAAAAAAACAATGGCAACATGGATGGCCGGTTACCACGGCTCAAGATAGGGTGAGTAACAATGAGTAACCAAATCTGGACCCTTCTTTTAAGTGACTACAGATCTAAGGGTGGAGAATGAAAGGAATTTATTTTCCCTAGTTTTCTTAATTTGATCATATCTTCTTCATTCTAACTTGGATTTCAATTTTTTTTGCATAGATGGAACAAGTTTGTCGTGCTCGACAAAATGATATCCATTTTTAATATTTTTTGAGAATTTTTTTTTCATCCCTCTCGTTACCAACTCCATACTATATGGTATCTCCTTCATTGTTTAATCATTTTCGGAAATTTTTGCACAAAAGGAATGATTTAATCATGATCTATTGGATTTCAAAATTTTATGGGGGAAAAAATTTCAAACCTCTCGTTACCAACTCCATACCATACTATACAACCCTGGTATGAGGTGGTATTTTTCATACCATATGGTACGCTGTTATTTAATACCATATGGTATTGACTGGTATTAAATAACAGCATGTATTGACCGGTATTTTTCATACCATGTGGTATGCTGTTATTTAATACGAGTCAATACCGTATGGTATAGACTGGTAATAACTGGCAAATTTTTTTTGTTCCAAAAAATATCAAAGTGGATATCAATTTGAAGAGCACAATTAATCTGATCTAACTGTGCAAAAAAAATTAAATTCCGAGTTAAAACGAGTGAGAAATCGTCCGTTAAAGATTAAGAGAAAGAAAATTAATGATTTTTCCAGGAGAGAGAAGGAGGCGCTGATGTGGCAGATTCTTATTGGGTTATGCATGGGGTTACTCACCACAAGGTTACTCACAAGATCTGCTCCCGGTTACCACCCTCACAACTTACCTTTCTTGTTTTTTTCTTTCCTTTTTTCATATTTATTTGTTTTTTCTTAGTTTATCCTTTCCTTATTTAAATTGTTATTAAATTAGAAGCGTTACGTAAGCCTTCCGTAATAACTTAGCACTTTACGTAAAGTGAGATTAATACTCATTACGTGAAGTTCACATTCTATTACGTAAGACTTCCGTAATGATCTTTTACAACTATTACGTAAGATTACCATATATTACGTAACCATTACATAGTGCCTAAAAAAAATTCAAGTTTCCTTACTTCAAGTTATTTTATAGGAAATCCCTATAACTATAAGCATTACATAATGATTACCCAACCAATTGTAATCTTAGGTAACAATTATAAAAGATCGTAAACTTTACCTAATAAATAGCAGCATTTAATGAAAATAGAGTGTAGTACTGTAGTTGCTTACCAGCTGAAGAATGTGCAAAGACCAAAGTATCACGTGCCTCCCCACCGCCGTCACGTGACGCCTGCTGCTGCTCATCATCGCATGCTCCCCAAAACGGCACCGCTGTACAGGTACGTTGAGCAGCAGCGGCATCATCACCGTTCCCTTCCTCCTCCGCCGGCGCCGCTGAGCTAATTACTCCGATCTCCATCTCGTCCGCCTTCCTCTTCCCACATATAGTCCTGCTCTCCATTAGCAACGCGTCCAACAACCCGCTGTTGTTCACCCCATCGCCATAATTATTATTGCTGTTGGCATTGTCCAGCCCTTCCGCCACCAAGCAAACCCCTCCTCCGCCGCCTCCGGTAGCGTTTGATGACGCCGAACGCGGCGGGGTTTGGAGTGAAGGAAGCTCCGACACCGCCCCGAATCCGAAGGGCTCCAGCTGCTGGTCGGCGTCGTAGTCTCCCATGATCAGGGAAGTGAAACTCGTGAAGTTACCCGGCATACTCTCTCCTCCTCCAGTCACCGGCGGGAGGGCCGACGGAGGAGGGTCGAATATGGAAACTAGAGGGGAAAATGAGAGAGGAGCCAAACCGTTGCTATTCTTCTGGGTGTTACTACTAGAGAAGGCAGAGGAATAGATGTTGGTGTTATTACTGCAATAACCTTTCAGACAACCGGCGGGTGGCGTCGAGAAATCGGTCAGACCGTCGGCGGCGAGGGAGAAGCATGGGGCGTAATCTGGTACCTTGGGACATACAGAGAAGAGAGACGACGATTTACTGTTGTTGTTGTGGTGAGTGAGATTGTTTTGTTCGTTATGGCGTTGCTTGTGATGAAACACTGCCGTTTTGTCTTGGAATTCTGTAGGGTAGACCGGAACCCCGGATCGATGCCTTCTCTTCGTCCTTGTGTTCCAGTAGTTTTTTATTTCGTTGTCCGTCCTTCCTGGCAACTGCTATTGTAACATAATACACATTTAGTTTACGCAAATAAGCAAATATTAATATATAGTAATGAGATGAATGGTTATAAAATCATACAGATAGTTACTTATACTGAATAGTGATAGAGAATTTTATATTAAAATAGTGGTTAAATCGTTTCTTATCGTCAAAATTATGACTTTTCCCCAAACTACTATGGTTAACATAATTAATACCCAATATACCATACATACATCAAAATTTTCCAAACTACTAGAGTTTGGTGCAGTTCGTTGGTGTCAAAAGCAAACATATATATATTATATCGTGAAGTCAAAATCGATTTGTATTAATCACTGATCACACAAGCGATCTAAGGGAGATCACTGGAGTGACAGGCGCTATGCTGCTATTTAGGCTGCATCACTGTCTCTCCAGCGATCCCCCCTAAATTGCTTGTTTGACTAGCGATTAACACAAATCACCTTTGACTTTCGCGATATAATTACTTGTTCGCTTTTGATACCAGTGAACTGCACAAACTCTAGTAGTTTGGAAAATTTTGGTGTGTGTTATATGTTGGGAATTAGTTTTGTTAACCGTGGTATTTTGGGGAAAAATCCTCAAAACTACCTACTATTTAGAGTTTGATATCCGATTTTTGGTCGGACAGACCGGTATGGTACGAATCCTACAACATTGAATGAGACTTTGAAAAGTTCATTAATCAGTTAAAAAATTATTAGAAAAACATATTTTCGAAATTAAAAATAAACCCCAAGCTCAAAAGTGCGTCTAGATAACACACGTCAATTAGAAACTGAAGACTCGTAAATACATAGTTAAGAGACTTCAATCTATTCAGATATGACTTTTATGTCGCCAGAGTAAAAAGTATATGATAATGACAAATCAGAAGGTTCAAATTTCAAGAAAAGGAAGAATAAAAGTTAGAAAACTTTTAATGTAATTTGTCGGTCTCTCCAGGGTTCTAAAACGCAAAGTTAAAAGAGTTTAAGACTCCACAAAATAGATAGAGCAATATATTGTTAGTATATTCAACTTAACATAATTGGAAAAGAAATTCCTAAATAGTGAGTGTACCATCAAACTACAAATTTGCTTTCAAATTCATAATTATTTTAGTTGTAAAATCTCAAAATTCGAACTCAATATGTGATGGATATTCTCATTCTCACATTACAAGTAGATCAACTCCATGACTTCAATTCACAATAACCTAATTGAATGATATGTATGGATGCACGAAGAACACCAAAAAAGTAGAGTGTTTGATATATTATATATACAAGAGACTAAGAGAGAGCTCGATCGACTCACCTGAGTGGCCATGCGAGCCCATTTGTTGCCGTACTGAGCATGCAGCTGGATGATGAGGCGCTCCTCCTCCGGCGTGAACGCTCCTTTCTTCAAATTGGGCCGCAGGTGGTTGGCCCACCGGAGCCGGCAGCTCTTCCCGCACCGCAACAGCCCACAATTCTTCTGCACCGAATTCCAGTTCCCTTCCCCGTGCTTCGTCACGTACTCCAACAGAATCGCGTCCTCCGCCGCCGTCCACGGCCCCTTCCTCAAACCCTGCTGCACCGCCGCGTTATTGCCCTTCCGCTGCCCTCCTCCGCCGCTGGCCGACATCATCATCGCCATTCCCGTCACCGCGTTGTTGTTGCTCCACCACCACCCGCCAAGTTGAGAGTTGGGACAATTGACTACGTAATTGGAGATTTTGTCTTTATAATAAGCTTTAACTTATTGTTCTTTTATGATTTTTCTTGGGGGAAAAACGGCTGCAAAAAGAGAAAAAAGTTATGGTCTTTTGGCCTTTGTGGGGTTCTTCTCTCCTCTCTCTCAAATCAAAGAGTAATTATTGTGGGGGTGGCAACAAAATGTTTGTAAGAAAGGAGAGAATGGGTGGTGAAAAAAAGAGAGGAAAAATTCCTTTTTTACTCTCTTTTTTCTTTCAAGCTTTGATTCTTTTGGGGAACCCTTAACAGAGAGGGAGATTTAGAGAAGGGAAAGGGCAAGAGTTTGGAGAAGTAATTATTAATTAATTAAGATGGGTTTTGGAAGGGAAGGCAGAAAGAGAATAATAGAGGAGAGGGGAAAGTAGGAATTTTTTTTTTTTTACTTTTGTGAGCTAATTAGAGGGTTTAAGGGATGATAATGGTGATTAGGGCAGTAGGAGGAGATGGTGATGAAAAGAGAAGAAAACAGGCCTGAGATTTGCGAGAGGTGTGAGCCCAAACCAAAGTTCGGCGTTGGTTAACGGTTTTTTGATGAAATTTTTAACAAAAATGCATGTTTGATAATTTTTACAAAGTATAAGGGTATATTTGATGTAAAAAAATAGTAAAGGGGCATGTTTGATAAAACATCATAGTAGAGGGGCATATTATACCTATAACCCTATATTATATTTTTTTTTCTTTTATTCAACGAAAAAAATTTGCTGCTTTTCTTGATAAATACATTTATATATAGTTTACGCGTTTCGTTATTCTAAATATCCACACCTCCTTATTTAGTATTATTATGATTATAATTATCATCACACCCCAATTCTCATTTTGATATTGCATGATCACAAGGCGGGGGATAACTATGTTGTAGGGGTGGCTATACGGTTTGGTCTGGTTAAATTGGCTCAAATTGATCTGGTCCAGTCTGGTCTTTTTGAAAATATAAGGACCAAAGATTGGATTGGATACAGTCCGGTCTTGATTCGGTCCGGTCCCAATTCGGTCTTGATTTTATATTGATCTTGTTGGGATTTATGTGGCCTAAGGCCTGAAAGGGTGAGGAGTTGGTTAAGTTTTGTGCTAACTACAAAGATTTGTGACCGTTTGTGCAAATTAACCTTAAGTTTTGGGTGTTGAGCTCTCTTATCCGGTCTTTATCGGGTTTTCGATCCGGCCCCAAAAGGTTTTTTTACCTCAAATCTAGCCCAAAGATTGGATTGGATTGTTTACTATCCGGTCCCAGTCCGGTCTCGGTCCGAATTATACGGTCCGATTTCGGGTAAAACCAAAAAACCCGGACCAAATAGCCAGCCCTACAATATGTTGCATGAATGCATGACACCTAAAGCTAGGATGGTTTCCTGTAAAAATTATTATTAGGGTGGTTTTTAATTGTAATCCATCAATGAGGAAAGGTAAACAACACACTATTTACGTGGTATCCCCGGAAACCGGGACTAATTCAAAGAGCAGAGCTCTCATGATTGTCTGCATCGGTCCAGTCCGGACCGAGTCAGATCAAACTCAGGAGAACCGCGGTCTAATAGTGATAGATGCCTTAGGATCAAGGACCGGATCAATAGTGCATTCGGTCCGCTTTGGCCCTCTTTGGTCCGGTCAAAATATCAATTCGGTCCATTATAATTCAGTATTTATGAAATCCGTTGGACTAAAGATCGGACCGTATTATATTCGATTCGGTATGGTCCAATCAAACATCGATTTGGTCCAATGTGATCCGGTATGGACCAACCAATTGCCCACCCCTAGTTCCGACTCCATTCGTTTCTTGCTCCAACCGCCATCGAGCGATCGCTACCAGAGTTGATTAACGCCGGAGTTCCTTGCATTGTTCAGGGGATCGGGGGCTTTGCGGGGGCGGAAACTTCTCTGTACTATGCAAATAAAACAAACAAACACTTGAGAAATAAATAAAATAATCTCTTTGGCTAGGGAAACAAATTATAACAAAATACACAAAATACATATTAGTAGTGTTATGGGTAAATGAAGGGTAATTTGGTAATTTTCTGTCTATTTAACGACCACTTAACAAATAATTAGATTGAAGGGTAAAATCGTTATGTTTTAATATTAGCAGGGTACGTTAAAAATTTAGTAAAAGGGTACGTTTGTTAATTTGCAAAAGTAGAAGCATACAAAATACTATTAACCCAAGAAAAAAGAGTTTATATATTATATTATAAGGGCTCACTGAAGATTGCTTACGAGATATGACCACACCCAGAGCGGTGTCGAGGTATGAATACACCCATAGTGGTGTTGGTTATGTATGACTACATCCGACGGGATGTGGGGTATGTTTCCCAGGAGAGTTATTAGCATGGGAGTAGCCAGGCGCCTATAAGTAAAACATGATAAGACGCATATGCATAAGTCAAGGTGGTTGATTCTTTTGCCCATTGGGATATGAGGATGGCTGAGGTCCGATCCTAGTGTTTTGGCTTGATTGCTATATGTATGATAGGGGTATGTTTTGTTATGGACTCACGATGTAATGATTGTCGCACTCAGCCATGAGCTGACCCTCTTTTATTCTTTTCCTCTGCTTATGCCATGTGTAAGCAGATCATCAGCAGTAGCAGTAGCAAGTACATAGGTGTGAGCACAGCGAGGAGTTGAAGGCGGAATGATGTATTGTCTTCAACTATTCTGTGCTTGGGACGACTACTCGGGATTTTGGCCAGTGATCCACACCTCTTTTGTAAAAATGTTCTTAGAATGTTTTTCATGTGCACACTAGCTTTTGATGTAGTATTACATATATATCACAGGTGTGGAAAGTTGATATGTGTATATTTGTGTGGTTGTGTAAGTTGTGACGTTGTGGAGTATGAAACTGTGTCTATGCCTATGAAAGCCAATGTATATGGTTGTGAGTATATATGTATGTCTACGAATGTAGGGATTCAGATGAATTATTTTGCAGGATATGTTGCAAGAACTGTTAGCCCATTACGCGAGTAGTTCATGTCAAAATTTTATTTTGGGTCAATTTTGGTAATTAATGTAACACCAGTTTTTAATTCCGCTGAAATTGTATGAACAATATGATAAGGCAAAACATACAAGGTAGAGTGTTACATAATATACATTTTAAACTATAACTCCATAACCCAAAAATCCATGATTAAATCAACTAAACAAACCATGTGTCCAAATTCACAATGCACCAAATCCTTAATAAATCCAACGGTTTTGAAAAGCCAAGCTATTCCCAACACACTCACTCTCAAATTCAACAAGCAAACGAGCACATAATAATAGTAGTAGTGTAGTACTATAATGTTTATTTTGAAAAGCATGCAACGAAAGTTTGTGTAAATTCTTAGTTGCGATGAACTAAACTAGTTGAAGAACAACTTTGCCATCATTAATACTCAAGAAAACAGACTCCAAGCTCTCCAAGAAGCTTTCAATCCCATGGTAAATCTTGTGCTTTGATCGGATTTTGCCTTGGACTACATGGCCTTGCATCTCCTTTGAAAAATCTCCAAAATGGTTCATATATGAAAGCTCCATGAACCCTTTCATCGTCACCTCTTTACCCACGATGTTCAGCAGATTCCTCACGCCTTCTCTCTCTTTCCAACCCTGCAAGTTAATCAATTTGTACTTTATTTATTGGGTGATCTCTTCTTTTGAATCCTAATCATTTAACAAGAGGATGCAGATATGCAATGTTCACGTACGTACCTTGTTGTATTGAGACATCATGCCACAAAGGATGACTTTCGCATGTGAATTAACGTGGTTAAGAACAGCTTCTAGCATTGTGCCTCCAACATTATCGAGATACAAATCGATTCCATTTGGGAAGTACCTGTAGAAAATTTATTTTATATATGTCATAGTACTGATCGATATTGTTTGCTATCATTCCCAGTATATATAAGGAGATTGAGAGGGAAATCAAAAAAATAATTGGGGACAATTGTCACGTTTTTTTTTTTTTGGGTACTAGGGTGGAATTTCATGCAGCCGTTAATAGACTTTTTCGATTTTCCACAAGTTCTTATTGAATCATTATCTCAAATATTTTGATATTATTTTAAAAAAATTGCGTAGAAACTTCAAAAAAATTTAGCGGTACAAATAATATAATTTTTTTTATCTTTTATGGAGCAAACAAATTTAATGACATCTTACCATTATCATATGATATTACTATAGTAATAATATCAACATGTGATAATATCATTATGTCGTAGTGGTATGATGGTGTTCTATATTGTCCTGCCATAATGTTAATATCATGTACAAGTGTATTATCGAGTCATACACTAAGATGTGAATATGATATCGAGATAAATTTAGCAGCTTATTTATTAAGGAAAATGTATCCCTCACCTAATTTTTCATGCTATCCATTGCTAACGGCTATCTGGACCTAATGACAGTAGCCACAGTGCAAAATGATGTTCAAATAGATTTAATAATCACATATACAAGGATTTAGAGCTATCGAAAGCTTTTTGATACCTTCTCCATTGAAGGAGGCTCAAATCTTAAATGGTCTCTCGATAACGCCACCACCTTCACGTAAAAATTCATGTCGGTACTTTTATAAAGGGTTAATAGGATAAATTGCCTCTTTATTATTGCATTTTCTCAAACGTACCCTTTACTATTTTTCACATCAAATTTGCTATTTTATTATAGTTTTCTTCGCCATTTTGTTAAGTTTTGCATCCAAACTCAACAAACCAGAGTCGAACTGAGTATAAGTCTATAATAATTGACAATTTTATCCCTGAAAATCTTTCCTCCAAGTAGTTATTCCAATTTTTTAAATAATCAATAATAACATAAAAAATAATAAAAACTCCAACTATCCGCCTCCTCCGCTCGTCTCTTCAACTCTTCCCCTCCCCAAAAAATTCCCCAACCTAAATCCCATTCCCCAGTAATCCCATCTGCAACAGCAGATTTTCATTCACGCACGAAAAATAATGGCTTAATGATGTTCATTTTGGGATCAATGATCCTGATTCGTCGAAATTTTCATTGATGTTCATTTTTAAGATTAAACGAATCTCATGCTTTGGGTTAGTGAATTGGGGACTGAGATTCACCCATTAGGGGTTAGGGTATAGTATCATGCCCCAAACTCCGGTTAATTCATGATCTATATAGCAAAACTCAATGGGGCGTACGCTAACCTAGCGTACGCCCGGGCGTACACTAGCCTGAACCATATATATATTCAAGAACCAGTTGATCCCAATAACTCGAGTTGCTGGGAGAAGTTCAATCGTGGATCATATACCACACATTAACACGCCCCCTCAAACGAAAGCCACTCACAAGGGCTTGAAGTTTGCATAGGTCTGAAGACAAGAATACCATGTGCTTAACAAATGGGGGTCACCGAGAATTGAACACAAGACCTCTCGGTCACAGAAGGCTCTGATACCATGTCAAGAATCAGTTGATCCCAATAACTCGAGTTGTTGGGAGAGGTTCAATCGTGGATCATATACCACACATTAACTATATATATATATATGGTGTACGCCAGGCGTATAGTATACAGCAGGTGATCTAACCGTTAGATGTACTTAGATGAACTCCAGCCGATCTCAACGGTCAATTTTTGTTTTTCATTAAATCAAACTTCGGGTTGGGGTTTAGAAAATCGGTGCCTGGGGTTTATCCATTAGAGGTTAGGGTATAGTATCATACCCCAAACTCGATTTAACTCATGGTCTAGATAGAGATATCTCACTAGTAGTACCTGACGTACGCCAGTCTGACCCATATATATATATATGGCAAAGTATATATGCATCATTCGTCAAATAGGCCAAGTTTATATGGGTCGTTTGGAAGTTAAGATTCTATATGAATGATTCTTTGAATTCATGATTCTGGAGAATTCAATTCATCAAATACACATATTTGAAAAATCTCAACTTCCAAACGACCCCTATATTCCGTCAGGTTGTCTTCGACAAGAATTATTTTCTGTCATCGTATTTCTCACTCATGTCTACCAAAGTTCAACACGAATTTCCTGAATTTCACAAATTACAACTATCTATCCAAATTGTGCAGACAAGATCATGTTAACAACTCTCGTCACTCTTTCCACCAGCTCACTCTTTCTCTCTCCCTCTCTCCCTCCAACTGATATGCACATATTATGAATATTTGTGGGAGATTGAAAAAATCTCTTAAATGTCACCAGAAAATCCGCACAAGCTCACTCTCATTCTGAAAAAAACAATTGCGCTGGCGTTACCATTGCATGTTATGTCCTTTTTCAAGCGGCCTCTGTCTCTCTGTCGTCACTTGGACAAACATGTAGCTCGGTTCTGGTGGGAGGCTACTGAGGGCCACTCGAAGGTGCGTTGGGTTTCCTGGCGCAATATGGGTAGGAGCAAACATGAGGGTGGGATGGGGTTTCGTCGCTTTGAACACTTTAATCAGGCACTTCTTGCCAAAATTGGGTGGCGAATCCTGACTAACCCGGAGTCCCTCCTGGCCAAGGTATACAAGGGGAAGTACTTCCCGAGAGGGACCTTCCTTCATGCTAAGGCTCACTCCCGTCTTTCGTGGGGCTGGCAGAGCATTTTACGTGGGCGACAACTGTTGGAGCAGGGCTTACGCTTGCAAATTGGGGATGGGCGCTCCGCCTCTATTCTCCATTCTAATTGGATACCTCATTTGCAGCTTGATCCTCTTAGGTATAATCCGAGAGTCCTTCCGGCTGGGGGGGGGGATCCTCTGGTGGCAGAGGTTATGGTTCAAGGAGAGGGGCGGTGGTGTGAAGTTAAGTTGCATCAATGGTTTGACCCGATGACATGTCGTGCCATCCTAGCAATCCCTCTGCCGCGTATGGCCATTGAGGATAGGCTGATCTGGCATGACACGGTGGATGGGGTTTTCTCAGTCAAATCGGCATACCGTTTAGCTGTTTCGCTGGATAGGAGGAGGGGTGGGTGGAAAGCTTTGACAAGTTGGATGGATAAGGCTAGTTGGATTCGATTGTGGAACGCTGATATTCCCCCTAAGTTAAAAGTTTTTGTTTGGCAGATCTTCAATCCTGCTCTCCCAACGACAGAAGCCCTCATAGAGAGAAAGGTCCCGGTGCATCCTCGGTGCCCAGTCTGTTGGGAGGCCTCTGAGACATTGGAGCACCTTTTTCTCTATTGTCCTGTGGCGAGGGCCATTTGGGATTATTCGGGGCTGGAATATTTGGGAGGGATTATCTCGGCAGACTTTCCCTTTATTTCACAAACGAGTCCTGGCGCTGATAAGTCACCCGCCTGTGTTTATGGCGGTTGTGGCTGTCCTCTGACGGATATGGCGTTCTCGAAATTGGGTTGTCTTTGAGGGCAACCAATTTGGGATACCAGTTTTGATGCGGCAATTTAATCAGCAATATGAGGAATGGGTTGGTTTGTCTAGTAGTCGGGATCCCCAGGCTATTCCATCTACGCCGAGACATCTGGGCCCGGTGGGGGCTGGCTGGGTTGTCTGTATGTGGGATGTGGCCACGAGAAGGGGGCACATTCGGCAGGAGGGCTGATTCTTGCAAATCCTGCTAGGGAAATCCTCCGGCCTAAGGGAGTTCAGTTCCAAGCAATTGATGACCCTATGGTAGTTGAACTACTTGTGCTCAGGGAAGCTATTGTTTGGTGTCTGGAATTGGGGTTCTCGAACGTCATTTTTGAAGGGGATGCCAAGGTCATTATTGATAAAATCAATCTGGCAGACACTAGGGACAACAGGATGGGTGTTGTTCTTGCGGAAATAGTTCAGTATTTTAGTGCCCATGCGGAGTTTAGTATTCGATTTGTAGGTCGGGAGAACAATAGGGTAGCCCATGCAGTGGCTAGGAAGGCCCTCTCTAGCTTTGTACCCGGCTATGAGTCGAGCTTTTAATTTTTGGACCTGGCTAAATTCCAGGATGTAACTATCTCTTTGTTTGAATCAATATATGATTATCTTTTGTTAAAAAAAATTCCGAAAAAAAAGCAAGTAGTGCAAAATTTTCTAATTTTTCTCAGTACCCCTTATAATATAGACAGTAAGATTTACTCTTTTTCTTTTCTTCTCAAATCGATGAATATGATTAGGTTATGGAGGATTATATAACAATGAGTTCTGCATTTTAACATACCCCTTATTTTATCGTTTCATTATCAAAAACTTTTTCTAATTAAATTTTGTTATGCGATGCTGAAAAAAAAATTTTATAAAAGAAAAAACATATTTAATACTCCATCACTAGCAAAAATGAGAATCAATTGTATACAATTGTACTTATGCCAAACGCAAATAATTAAAAAATAAGAATTAAAAATTGAATTATACCCAAACAGAACAGACCAGACCAGACCATAGAAGAATTCAGTGACCGCGACTTACTTGGTCAGAGCAACGTCAAAATCTGCTTCTTTGTTGTAGTTGAATGCGTCGTCGTATCCAAATTCGTCTTTGATCAGTTGAACCTGCAATAAGGTATTCAAACCAACCACCGAGGATCAGCTCTTCCACCTCAAACTAATTAATTAGAAAAAGTAATTAATTAACTAGTCCATGATGATATATTTAGCTTATTCTTAATACTATATAAAATAAAATAAAAAAAGCTCAAGACTCAATTACCTTTTTATCAGATCCGGTGCTTCCAATGACTGTACAGCCTCTGAGTTTGGCCAGCTGTCCAGCCACCATTCCAACCCCTCCCCCTGCTGCTGAAATGAACACATTGGTCCCTGGTTTTGGGTCTCCCAGCAACACAATCCCCAACCACGCCGCAAACCCAGCCACCCCTTCAACCACATCATATTATTGATTACCATTTTACAACCGTAGGATTCTGAAACCGTACCGAAGTTTATACAGAAAGAAAAAAGAGGTTAATTAGCCATTTTAATTACCAAGGCAACTCAAATTATCCAGAGGCGAGATCTGGCCAGTGACATCAATCTTCCTGAGCAAAGCTGGGTTTGCTGGAAGTACAGCATACTCCGCAACCGGTTGGAACGGATTAAGGAAAACATCACCCTCTCTGTAGTTCTCGTCGCCGGATTTTACCACTTTGGCTATTCCGAACGTCTTCACAACCTGTACATTTGTACAGAATATTGGGAAAAAAATGTGTCACTTTGATTCGTCTCAAAACGATGTCAATCTTCAATAGTACAATTTTGAAAAAACAATGTGTGAACACACACTAAAATCATTATTTTTTTAAAAGACGTACAAAAAAAAAAAGATGATGGGGGAAAACTGTGTGAGACCTGGCCGAGGTCGAGCTGGGGCAAGTAGAGACCGTCGACGGTACCGCTCATCATGGAGCGCAAGAAAGGGTCGACGGAGAGCCAGAGCGTCTGAGCCAGGACGTGGCCGGCGGGGAGAGAACTCGGGGTAATTGAGACATTGCGGAGCTTCAGGTGGTCGGAAGTTGGGATTCCTTGTGGTGAATAGGCTGCCATGTACCATTCTCTGCTCTCTACTGTTTCGCAACTGCTCTTACTCTCCCCGCCGGCAGCTGCAGTTGTCTTCTCCCCGTTTTCTCTAGCCATTTTTTATGACAATTGGGAGGAGCGTTTTTTTTTTTTTTAATTTCCAAGTTTGGTAAGAGAGCGAGTCCCTGAATTATGGAGTGGTTCGTATATGTAGGTGTTTTTTCAGTTTAAGATAATACTAAGTGGCGATATCGCGACTTGTCATGGGATGGAGATGGTTTATGAAAATGTATTATATGGTCTGTTATGGTGTTAGTATTATTAGCCTAAAATTAATATTTTGCTAGTATTTTGTTAGTAATATTAATTTGACAATATGATATTGACTGAGAAGAGATATATGACGGTCAATATCCAATTTTACAAAATTTGAAACTTTTGTTTAATAAATGATATTTACCTAAATCCAAGTAGACCCATTGATTATGGGTAGGGTATGGGTGACGTATATATGGGTTCAGAAGTTTGTAGACGTGTTTGGGTAGGGTTTGGATATTTACTTCCATACTCTAAATATGTATGAGTTGGGTATGGATACCCATTTATTCGAGCGTGTTTTAATTACACATACAAAAATTATACCTATTTATAGAATTTAAATGGTTAGGTACTAAAATGTAATGTACTATCAATATTTTTGGGGACTTATAAGCCAAATAAATAAATTTTGGTTATAAATCTAAAGACCTATTAAGTTTTAGTACCGAACTGTAATTTTCATAGTTGTGGCTAATTCCTTTTATGGTGATGTATTTAAGATGATAATTATTTACTTTTCAAAGAAAAATGGAAACTATTTAATTTATATGTGTAGATACCTAGCCAAACATTCCATGTATAATTGTTGAAAATTCTAGCCCGGGTGCAAAAGAAAAACTTTAGAGAAAAGCAATAGGAATACAAACTGGAACTCGCTTAAAATTTCACGCCTTTAAATCTCATAGTGGAAAATGACGACTTTCTAATAAGTAATAACCATATATATTTATTTTTAATTGGACTCGATAATGAGCTGAAAAAGTTAGTGGTTCATGATTCAATAGTAATTCTCTAGACTGTTTGTCAGTCGTGTATATATGGACTTGTTAATACTTGTGATTAGAATACATGAAATAGTATACTAATAAGGGTTAGAAGAATAAGGCAAACAAAAATAAAGAAAGGGTTATGGAAGGCGAGTGAAAAATGAAACGAAGAGGAAGTAGATGATGGAAAGGTTTTGACCAATTCTTCTAGTTGGCCGTCAATACAGCAGTCAACCCTTTTCCCGTAGCAATTTATTGACACTTGCTTATGTAGATCTGGCATATTTTGTTACATGTAGTTAGTAGAAGTTTGTTTAGTACTTGTAAATGTACTAAATGAGTTTATAAATTCTCTCTTGCAATATTTTAGAGTCGTCTCTCTTTTATCATTTATTTAATGATTCACGTAATAAGCAAATATAAAATGGTCGAATCTTCTACTACAGTTGAGTGATACAACATCTATTTTGGCACAAACTAAGTTTATACTTTTATGTTATGGTGGATTGGATTCATGGATTCAAATGAAATCTAAACAGAGGACCTATACGTAAATTTAAAAAAATTGTATCTACAAAAATCTCATAAAATTTAGATATCAAAACATAAGTGTTCAATAATTTTCATTAAAATTAAATTTGGGGTATCATGGATTGGTTCAAAAATATTGTAAAAAAAGAATGGATTTGGTTCAAAAAGACTGGTGGCTTGGATTAATGGATTGGTTCAAAAGGATTCATTATAGTGACGAATTTGTAATTTGTTTGGCAACAGTAACCAAAATTCAGCTTATTAACTCTTGCAATATTTTAGAGTCGTCTCTCTTTTATCATTTATTTGATGTTTCACGTAATTAGCAAATATAAAATGGTCGAATCTTCTCCTACAGTTGAGTGATACAACATCTTGTATGGTACAAACTAAATTTATACTTGTACGTTATGGTGGATTGGATGAATGGAATGATTCAAAAGGGTTGGTGGATTGGATTCATGGATTCAAGTGAAATCTAAACATTGGAGCAATATGGAAATTTATAAAATTGTAGGTACGAAAATCTCATAAAATTAAGATATCAAAACATAATTGTCAAATGATTTTCATTAAAATTAAATTTGGGGTATCATGGATTGAATTCTTGGATTGGTTCAAAAGGATTGGTGGATTGGATTCATGAATTTAAGGGAAATCTAAACATTGGACAAATTTATATGAAAATTAAATTTAGGGTATCAAAATATAAAATAAACATTATAGTGACTAATTTGTAATTTATTTGGCAACAGTAACCAAACTTCAGCTTATTAACTCTTGCAATATTTTAGAGTTGTCTCTCTTTTATTATTTATTTAATGTTTCACGCAATTAGCAAATATAAAATGGTCGAATCTTCTCCTACAGTTGAGTGATACAACATCTTGTATGGTATAAACTAAATTTATACTTTTATGTTATAGTGGATTTGATTAATGGAGTGGTGCAAAAGGGTTGGTGGATTGGATTCATGGATTCAAGTGAAATCTAAACATTAGACCAATATGTAAATTTAAAAAATTGTTGGCAAGAAAATCTCACAAAATTTAGATATCAAAACATAATTGTTCAATGATTTTTCATTATATTAAATTTGGGGTATCATGGATTTGAGTCATGGATTGATTCAAAAGAATTGGTGCAATGGATTCATGTATTTAATTGACATCTAAACATTGGACCAATTTACGTTAAAATTAAATTTGGGGTATCAAAATATAAAATGTACATCATAGTGAATAATTTGTAATTTGTTTGGCGACAATAGCCAAACTTCAGCATTGTAAAATTAAATTTGGGGTATGATGAATTGGTTCAAAAGGATTGGTGAATTGGATTCATGAATTTAAGTGAAATCTAAAAATTGGACCAGTTTGCATTAAAATAAAATTTGGGATATAAATATAAAATGTACAGTGACTGATTTGTAATTTGTTTGAAAACAGTAACCAAATATCAGCTTTATATATAATAATATGGATAGCTAAATCTGAACCGTGCCTTTAGGTCTATGTGGGGGGTCCACATCTTGTCAGTAGCTGATGGGTCAGTAACCCATCAGTAACCCCTTCCCTGGTCCCCACGTGTCAGTCACTTTTTTATTTAAATTAAATGTGAAAAGGGTAGTATGGTAAAATTGCACTTACTCCTATTTATTATTGATGCTCACTTTTGACCGGAGCCTATCAGCCCCTCCTTCTCTCTCCTGGCAAAACATTTAATTTTCCTTCCCTTAATCTTTAACGGACGATTTCTCACTCGTTTTAAGTCGAAATTTAATTTTTTTTGCACAGTTAGATCAGATTAATTGTGCTCTTCAAAATGATATCCACTTTGATATTTTTTGGACACAAAAAAATTTGTCAGTTATTACCAGTCATACCATATGGTATTGACTGGTATTACACAAGAGCATACCATGTGGTATGGTAATATTTGCCACATGAATATATATTTCGTTATCACCCAATACCATATGGTATAGTGTGGTAATATCAATATATATTTCGTTACCACCCAATACCATATGGTATAATGTGGTAATATCAATATATATTCCGTTACCACCCAATACCATATGGTATAGTGTGGTAATATCACACAATTCACACAATACCATATGGTATAGAGTGGTAATATCAATATATATTTCGTTACCACCCAATACCATATGGTATAGTGTGGTAATATCAATATATATTTCGTTACCACCCAATACCATAGGGTATAGTGTGGTAATATCAATATATATTTCGTTACCACCCAATACCATAGGGTATAGTGTGGTAATATCAATATATATTTCGTTACCACACAATACCATATGGTATAGTGTGGTAATATCACACAATACCATATGGTATAGAGTGGTAATATCAATATATATTTCGTTACCACACAATACCATATGGTATAGTGTGGTAATATCACACAATACCATATGGTATAGAGTGGTAATATCAATATATATTTCGTTACCACGCAATACCATAAATTACCATAGGGTGTAGTGTGGTAATGTCAATATATATTTCGTTACCACCCAATACCATATGGTATAGAGTCATAATATCAATATATATTATCTAAAAGGAAAAAAACAGAAGGAGGGAGAGAAAAAAATCGTCTTCTGATGCCTCTCATTTCCTCTTCCTCAATCAAGAACACCAAAATGGCAAAAAAATGAGAAAGATCGGAATTGAGTCCAACGAGTTGATGAAGAGAAGAAATGCAATGAAAGAGAGTGGCTACAATTTTTATGCTAGAGAAAAAAAATGAAGAAGAAGGAAGAGAGCAGATTTAGATTTGAAAAGGAGATTGTGAGAAAAAAAAGTAAGAGAGAAGGAATAGAGAAAGAGAAAGGTCATGGAAAGAGATTGAAAAAAAGGAAGAGAGAAGGAAGAAAGTTGAGTTGCAGAGAAGGAAGATTCTCTCTCTTTCATTGAAAAGTCATCCATTGAAATGCGGAATAAATAAAAAATTAAAAATACGAAAACTGACAAAAATGCCCCTCCCCACCCAGCGTCCAGCCCATCCACACGATTTCTCTCTCCCAAAATCTACGGCCCGCGTGTTGTTACTGATGGGTCAGTAACCAGTGGTTACTGACCCTATCTTGGACCCTATGTGGGGTAAGACGGGTTTGTATCCAAGATTGAGAATTAATTTTTTATTATTTTTCTATTTTTTAATCAGTTCTCATCTGTTTTGTTTTAATTTGGATTTTAAAATATTTTGCACGAAATGAGTCCGTTATGATCTACAAAAGAATATTCATTTTCAATATATTTCAGCAAAAAGATTTCATACCACTTGTTGCAACCTTGGTACCACCTTTGTTTCTAACTCGAATTTTGAAATATTTTGCCCAGATGAGTTCATCGCGATTTATTTTATTTGCGAATTTTTGAAAAAAAAATATATGACCAAAATATGCCAGTCCAAACCAGGGTGATAACTAGGGATGGCAATGGGTCGGGTTGGGTCGGGTTTTGCCAA